GTTAGTCTCAGAGCTAAGATGAGAATCCAGGTCTTCTGATTCCTTAACCCTGGTCAAGGCTTGATGGCCTTCCACAAGTTTTAGTGCAAAATTTCACTTTTTTTCTTTTCATAACCAAGACCGTCTTTGAACTATTATCATGATGGTTGATTGAGTCAATTTCATTGTATGTAAACTTTAAAAGGGAGGGGGAAAAACCACTTTCATGTACATTATCTTAATTACCAAGTGGTTTGTAAGGCTGTTTTCTTCTTCCAGAAAATATGAGTTGCTTAGCCTTCTTTTTCATAAAACTGGTGTCTTTCTTTCTCAGTATCAGTTTTTGCTTTCTACTTTGTAATGTTCCTCCACATCTTTTCCATTGTCTCACAACCTGTGAGACATACAGGTAGTTATTATCACCCCCTGTCAATAAGAAGCATGAAAGTTATGTAGACCCCAGTTTCAAATCCCAGCTCTGCCACTTGCCACCTGTGTTAGTTTGGGCAGGTTAGCCGTGACCCTCACTCAGTATCAAGAGAGCATGGCCACAATACCTTCCTCACTGGCCTGCTGTAGGTATTGAGTTTAATGCAGCATTGCTCCAACATCCCCTATGATGAGAATCCTCTGGGTGCTTGTTAAAATACAGATTCCCAGGCCCTGATCCAGATCCACAGAACCAGAATTCCCAGAGGTGAGGCCTGGCAGCCTGACAGGCCCCAGGGATTTTTATCAGGGAAATTCGGAAAATACTAGGTTGATTTCTATAGAGTACTTAGTATTGTGTCTGGTTCTAAGCAGGAAATATTTATCGAGCACTTATATGTGTTCCATCTCGGAAATGGAGATGACTACCAGCTAGGGTTATTACAGAAACAAGCAGTGCCCAAATCTGCGATGGTGCCCTCACTTCATTATATCCATCAGGGCTCTTTCAGGTTGCAATGGGAATGTCCAGATGCTCTCTCCAGGGAGTGCGCCGCCACCACTCCAGGCCTCCACCCTCCCTGCCCAGTACCCGTAACAGGAAGTTTCTCATTTTCCAAATGCCAGGAACTAAGCCTCATTTAACCAGTTTGTGTCTCAGGCCCTTCCTTGTACCAGTCACTACGATCACAGTTTGGAGTATGATGATTGGTCAGGACTAGGTCACTGGTTCACCCCGGGGAACCAGATAGATGGTGGTCAGCGCCATCTGAACTTCAGGAATGGGGGTGGGCCATATTCACGTGAGCCTTTGCAGTGGTTTCCTGTAGTGTTGTTGCCAGACCAAGAGGAGCTGATGTTTGGCAGGCAACTCCACAGATGTCCCCTGCATCAGCTCCCTGGGCCAGTTAGCAGCCTGCGGATGCCCCATCAGATCTGACTCTTTTCTCCAGTTTCTCCCCTGCTGGCACATTCAGAGCCCGCCTTGTGGGCCTTGGTCAGGCCGATTCAGCCTCAGACCTGCCCTCATCTGTCCGACCATCTCCGGCCTACTCCTTGCCCAGCTCACCCTTAGGCCCAGCTTGCCATAGGGGCCTGTCCAAGGGCCGGTCCGGGGACTCAGGGACACCATTGTCCAAAGCTGCTTATTAGGGACCCACTGTGGGAATCCTTCCAACCGTGAACAATGAGTCTCTGAACCAGGATAAAAACAGCCTTTGCAAGTCAGCAAATGAGACAAACTGAACCGCTCATCTTCCTTCCCTTGTCTGCCTAGCTTTCAACACAGTGGGTAAGAACAAGTTCTCCAGTGTCAGATACAGGTTTGAGGCTTAGCTGCCATTTACTTGCTGGGCTAGTCATCTGGCTCATCTGAGCCTTGTGTTCATCTATGAAATCTGTGTGAGGAGAAGGGAGGCAATGGATATAAATTATGATAGCAGGAGCTCATAATCTAGAACCAGCATCATTCTCTCCACGCACTCATCTGCGTCAAGAAGTGCCCTTCTCAGGGATGGTTAAAACCTGACACCACTAGGAAGCCACACCTACTGGGACTACTTAAAAATTAGGATGCACTCCAAAGCTACATAAAACAGATACGCCATGGTGCTCGCTGCATCCTGTCCGCTTGAGGGTTGGCTGTTCTTCCTCGAAGATAACTACACCACATACCTTCTGATTCTCACAACAGCTGGCCTCCCTGCAACCACGCGGTGAGCCCCGTGCTATGGTGCAGAAGCCCTGGGATGGGAGTCCTGGGCTCCGGGATGGGCTCTGCAGTGTGACTTTGGGCACATCACTTACCCCTCCCTGGGTTTTAGTCTCCTTTTTCTTCAAAGGAGAGGGCCAATGACGACTGGGTGATTTCTAATGGCACTTCCTCCTCAAGGGCCCATCCTACAGCACCTGCTAGCACTCGGTGGTGAAACCTCACTCACCAGAAGTGTGATGGGCAAGGTGAGCAATTGCTCCAACATAGCTGGCTCCTGAGGGTGTCTCAGGGGAGCGGGAGACAGTCCAGTATAAGGGAAAGGGCTGGCTCTGGGACCACACACCCCTGGTTTATTCCTGATGCTCTTCTCTGGCCAGAGCCAACTGGGTACGGGGTAATGGTAGGCTGTTGAGGGAGGCTACCTAGGAAGGTTACTGAGGATTCAATATGAACGAGATGCTGCGAGTACAGCACAGTACCTGGCACACAGCAAGAGCTCAATCTAGGAGAGCTCTTCCTACCACACCCCTCTGGCTGCGCTTCCTATTCCTCTTTGCCATTCATGACTAGGTTCAGTAATAATAGCCCAGACCTGAGGCTCATCCTGGCTCCACCTCTTCTTACCTCCAAGCCAAGGGACTTTGGTTTTCCTCATCTATAAAAGAGGTACAAGACTTTTACTCAAGCATTGACATGAGCATTCAGTATTATTCACACAGGGTTTTCCTCCCTCAGTCCCATTAGCACTAACTCAGTCTTTGTCCAATTTACCCTACATTTTATAGAATTTATTTCCATGTCTGTGTGAGTCAACTGATCCTTAAAAGCCCCCCAAAAGGGAGTCAGGGCCAGAAAATGAGGCCAGGCCCCAGCGGCGCCCTACGTTACCCACTCCCAAGTCCTCTTGCCAGCCCTGGGAGGCCCCAAACCCACTGGCCTCGTTCATCATACAGTCCCAGTGCTTGACGTAGCTCTGGGCCTCTGGGAGGCCATCTCCCCATCCTGCACCTGGGGTCCGGAGTGTCTCCAAAGAAAAGTGCAGCAAGTCCCAGGGGACCACCCAGAGGCCGGGGTGAGTTGGCCTCTCCGAAGCACCTCACCTGCTGGAATTACACGGGAACGAGGGCTCACCATAGGGTTCGAGGCTATAAGGCTGAGAATGAATGTATGTACATATGTATAAACTACTACAGTTCGTTAGTCTAACCCTTCCGGAAAACATGGAACTTTGAACATGAGTTTAATAAAGGTCAACTTTTGGTCCAATGACATCACTGCTAAGCACTTGTTCTACGAAATCCACAAAAAGTATAACAGAATGTCCACTGTAGTAGTAAACTGGAAATAACCCAAACACCTAATGATCTGGTTAGTATGAAGCAAATCAGAACAGTTAATGGACTACTACACAACCTTTACAGATTTGTTTTTGAAGACCCAGTAGAAAGGGAGAGAGAAGTCATCATAAGAATGGTTAAATAAAAAAGGAACAAGTTTGTCTTATACAATCCTGAGGTTTTCAAACATATTTTCTTTTCTACAGTATGGATAATAACACAATGAAAGATATTCAGAATAAGGTCGGGTCCCAAGGTTGGCCTAACTTTTTAGTGATTGTTTCAGTGTTTTTTAAAAATCTTTATCTCTTTACATTTCCCCCCCTCAAAAGTGAAGTTTTAATAAAAAAAAGCACACCACTGAGTCTCACTTCGAGACCCAAAGTATCCAAACTTAGTACCGGTCACATTTCCTATAAGAAAAGCTGGTTGTCTGGAATGCATCTTAGAAAGATCAATGGCCTGTTGGACTCAAAGAAGCCATTCCAAAAAAATTGTATAAAAAGATTTATTGAAATTTATCAATGACAAACAGACATAAAACTCAAAGTTTGGCTCTTCTGAGGGGGAGGAGAGAAACCGGTGCAGATGTTCTTTTGTACAGATGAAACACGGGCTAGGGAACAACACGTCACTTCTAAAGCAATCCAGAAGAGGGACATGAAAGCAAACCTGTACATTCACTAGGAATTTGCAGTCATTTCAGATTTCCACTAGGTAAGAAAATACAATTTTGCGTTAGTTTTTCCGTGCTCGGGCGTATGAAAAAAAAACAAAAACAAAAACCCAGCCGACATGCAGCAATGTCTCCTGTTCTTAGGTTTGTAAAAATGGTCTAAGCACAGAAGTACATGTGGAAGAATTCTCCCGTCATTTTGTAAAACAAAGCGTTCTAATATCTTACAGAACAAGTTAGGACAGTTCTTAAAAAATCTTTTAAAGAGGTTGACGTTTAAGGGTTTGCTTCTTCTCTTTTAATTATAATCACCAAATCGATTTTACTCGTAACTCATAATCCTGCTGTTTTCAGCTCTCTGGCTCATAGCTCGTAAGAGTGACATCAGAGTCTTCTTCATAGAACGAAGCCCACCACCATCTGTGAAGAGGGAAAGGGAATGAGAGACGGGGACTGTCCCCCAACCAGTGCCAAAATACGCCTTTAGGTTGCTATTTAAAACCAGGGCGTTGGATGCCTCTAGCAGGCCCAAGAAATGCAGAAATCACGTGAACCAGAACAAGAGGTAAGATGTGGCTGGTGCTCAGCCCCTCCTGGGCTTTGAGAAACCAAACTGAGGCCAGCCATGGCCTTCCAACCAACTCAAGAGACTCAGGAAATACCAGGAAATGTAAGAGACCTCCAAACCATCCTCTGAGAGTAAGGAACAAATGCTCACTTGGTGTGTACTCAGCTATTGCAATTACAGGGACAAAAACAGACACAAAAAAAAAGTAGGGGAAAAAAATAAAGAGTGGCAGTAAAAATAGTATTTTATTCCACCCCCTCCCGCCCACCCTCTCCCCACAACCCCCAGTACACTTTTCCCCTCTCGTTCCCACAGCAACGTTACAATCAGAAAAAAATAAGTTTCGGGGGGCGGGATTTGGGGGGGGGGTACGGGTAAAAACAGTCAAATCACAATAGGAATTTTTCAAAATAGGTTATCCACTTAGTCATCATCTTCTCCCTCATCTTCAGGTTCTCGTTTTCGCTTCTGACCCCTTTCTTCTTCTGGAAGAATAAGGAAAAGGGATTTAGGTTAAACACTGGTCCTCCACCCACTGGAAAACAGGGGACCATACATCTAGGAAGCTCTGCTGTCCTGGCAAACTGAGGCAGGACATCTGCAAAACCAGGCAGGCACCTGCGGCCTCAGATGGGCATGTTATGCCCAATGCCAGGGCCTCAAGGCCTATACAATCTACTGTCAACTGAAGGGGCCAGCTGCTACCAGCCAAGAGTAAAAAGGCTGTCATACCACCAAGATCTTCTTCATCTTCCTCATCGTCTACTTCCCCGTCGTTATAACCTTCTTCATCCTCCTAGGAGAGAAGATGCACACCAGGCATTAGGGGTGCCCCCGGGCCACGACCCTGCTGCGGAGGCTGCTTTCCCTACACAGACCTCAGAAAAGACAGCCTCTCAAGAGTCCCCACCAGGACCTACTCTCTCAGGATGAATCTGAAGTAGACATTCTTTTGCATGAAGGATCTTTTTAAGATTCTGTAGAAAGTTTATACTCCCCAAGGAAATACTTCTATTACATGTAAGATGTGCAAACAATGTGGGGGGCGGGCTGTGGATTCTACCCCCAGGTTAAGAACTCCTGACCGGAAGTCCCTACAGCTCAGGCAGCTTTCTAATCTGCCGCTCTCTTAGGAGAACAAGTAGCTAGACCGCTTCTCTGTCATGTAAACTAGGCCATCCTTTCATCTGTCCTTAATCTAGTTTTGGCTTCATGGTTAAGACCCCAATTTCAGCAAACCCAGATTTTGTGGGCAAGTCCAACCTCACCCTACCCACCCTGTACCCTCTTGCAAACGTGGACCACTTGGAGGGGAAGATAATTTCAAGGACCCCTGAGGACATCATCCCAGCTCCTTAAGATCCAGCAAGATGTGACTTCATTCTCAACACAGAGCCCTTGCTTTATGCTTCTCATTTTAGATGCTAGTTAAATCTGTATGTGCAACACCACTCCTAAAGCATTAGGCAGCCTCTTGTTTAAAAAGAAATTGGTGATAGACTTCTTTTTTGTCAAGGGATATACCCTTTTATAATGTCACGAAAGAGTTTCTGAATCAGTATGTTTGCTGAGACTGTGTGTGTGTGTGTGTGTGAGAGAGAGAGAGAGGAGAGAGGGAAGAGAGAGAGAGAGAGAGAGAGAGAGAGGAGAGAGGGAAAGTGTAAGCTCTCCTTTAATGGAAGCTGGAAATCTGCAGATGGTCAATGAGATTATCGCCCCCAGCACCCCCCTCCGCCGCCCCCACCCCCCCACCCCGCCAAACCCTGCATGCTGCAGCTCCTGTGACAGGAAGAACAAGATGAAAAAAATCTATCAGACAAAACGACTTACTGCCCTGTCCTGGGGGGACCGTTTTCCTAAGGCGTTAGAGGTGAGCCTAGCAGCCTACACTTGGGAGAAGAGAAACCCCACTGCAAGCCAGGCAGGAACTATGCCTATCTCACCAGCTCTCCTCTTCACTTGGACCTGCCTGCCTCTCCCAAGCCTGGGTTGGGCTGGCTGGGAGATCCTGCCCAAGCAGGTCTGCGTGGAAGGCAGGTGTCTGTGCGCTCAATCGAGAGACAGAAAAGGGAGAGAAGCCAATGCCCTGTCCAGGCTGTTGTCACTTACATCTCTCCAGGTATAACTTTTGTAATCAGCAAGAGCTGATGTAGAATTCTGAACAAATCATGGGAAATGACTCTATGTAGAGACTCAGAACACCCAAACACAAAACCCCGCACTTCGAGCCAGCATATTGGAGACAGAAGGGTGTGAATGCCTAAAAGAGTAAGTGGTCAAACACCCTTTTTAGTCAGACACTGTCCTTAAGCATTTCACTTATAAATTATCCTCTTGACAATCCAGAGAGTTCATCTCTATTCACAATCCAGATGTTTATTTCAGAAATGAAGAAACAGCCTCAGAAAGGTCAAGGAATTTGTCGAGAGACACACAGCAAAATCTCTGTGCTGTATTACTACTCACAGACATGTCACAGACCTTTTTGAAAAAATAAACTAGGACCAAACCAATGTGTTAGGAAAACGGCACTGCTTCCACTGTGCACGCGAGACCCATGTCACTCTGATCTGAGATCCAGAAGTGTCTTCTACTGCACGTCAGTTCAAGTCAGTCTTTGATTTTCCCTAGTACACTGTAAGTGCTCAGCAAGTTAACACACGAATGCAAAGGGTAGCAATGGGACATGGATGCAGTAAAAACTGATATCCGCATAGGAACGAGGGCCAGCCTTAACCCAGCAGGCAAGAGCACCCCTTTACCTGCCTCCAGAATCTCCTCTTACCCCCTCCTAATCCAACCTCACAGTGCTCGCTGCAAGGCTGGCCTCTCCCAAACCAGCCCAATAAAAGGCCCTGAAACAGACCCATTTCCCCAACGAGGGCTCCCGGGCTGCCGAGGGCTGGTCACTGAGACATTCAGAGGGACTGACTCAGAAGCAGCAAGAGGGACTCAGGGAAATGGCACCCCCACAGCCTGGCCACTTACCTCTTCCTCTCCACTCACATCCTCTTCTTCACCTTCCTCTTCTTCTTCCTCATCCTCCTCATCTTCCACTGCCTGAGCATCCTCATCATACTCTTCCTCTGTACAGCACAAATGGGGAAAGAACAGAACTGGTGGTGAGCTGGCTCTTCCTTAGCACAGCCCAGCAGCAGTGGTGTGGTCCTCAGTGGGGGGCCCATAACCCTCACAACCCCACCCAGGCCCCAAACCTGGATGCCCTAAGGTGACTGAACACATCCTAAAGTGATCTGAAAGATAAACACCCTAAAATGGTCAGAGTGATAAGCTGTCCTCCCCAAGCTTCACAAAAACGAAAGATCTTTTATGGAGGTTGAAACCACAGAGAAATTGCCACATCAGAAAAACAAGTTGCAGGGCCCGGGAAAGCTGAGAAGTCAATTCATTTAGAAAGAGCATCTAGCCAAACTCCTTGCTTAAAAAGGTAGATGTCTGAGGCAGAGGAAGAGGTGACTTGTTCAAGGTCACACATCAAATTAGTCTGGGCCTAGAAACCTGGTCTTAGGACTCCTGTCCTGGGCCCTTTATGTTGTATCACTAAGGCAAACAAGGGGCCTGAACTCCTTTCAAATTACTCCCATTTAACAAGGAAAAACAAAATCTTGTGTCTGCGTTAATTGGGCAAGTGTCTCCATCCTCAACTTTACTTTGGCCATGAAGACCTGCAGAAAAGCCACACTGTGCTGGTGATGTGGGAAAGAAAGAGGAGGTGCCCTTTTATTTTCCTTCCTGCAACCATAGCTGCTCACCACACTGCTAGGGAGCCCAGCGTGCTACCTGCAGCCTCCACTTCCAGGGGTCTACTTCCAGAGTCCACACCCCCTAAGCCCTGAACTGTGGCCCTTGTGGGCTTCAGCCACCAGGGGGCCCCACAACCCCTCCAGCCCTCTTGACTGGACACCTACATGCAGAAAGGGGACCCTCAGACCATACCCCACCTTCCTCTACCTGCTCACCCCCTCCCTGGGACAGTGTGCAAGTCTAGGGTCACACTGGAGAGACGTTGTATAATGACCTTCCCAGTGGGATTTTGGAAAGGGGAAAAAAAAAAGAAAAAAAGAAAGTGAAGCTCAGCTATATGGTTTTTAAGGAATTACAGCACTACACAGAGTCTCAGGATGCTTCTCTGGGGTTCATGCAGTTTTAGGGGAGTAAACCAATTACACAGATTAGGGGACACCAGTAAACACTCCCCTCCACAGCTTTGGAAAGAGATTGATAGGCATCATCTTCAGCAGCCAGTGGGGGCCTCCCAACACCCAGGCCACCCCCTCTGCAAAGCAAGGAGAACCCCAGGCCTGGCCCAGCCTTCCCCTCCGCCACCCACCATCCTCATCCTCCTCGTCGTCGTCCAGGCCCTCTACATAGCCCTCGGCATCTGAGTCAGGGGCCTCCTTGTCGTCCCGGTCGTAGCCATCGAGATATGTAAGTTGTGGGAGGAGCTTGAACACGTTTTCTCGGTAGTCGTTCAGGTTGGTTACCTCACAATTGAAAAGGTCTAAGCTCTTGAGGTTTTCTAACTTCTTCTGCAAGCAGAAAAATAAAGTCAACAGTGAGTGATTTGTGGGAGGTCAGAGAGGAGAAGGGGATGGGGTGGGAGGGCAGAAAGGACCCCGGGAAACAGGTAGGGACGAAGTGAGACAGTGTGATGAGCAAGGCCACAGGTGGTAAAGTAGCTCTGATTTGGTCCTGGCTTAGCCACAATGTCCACCCAGGCATATCACCCCTGGCTGATTGGCCTCAGTTACTTCACCTGGAAAATGAAGGGCCAGACTTTAGCTTTAAGATCTCACTTGATGCCAATACTTTTACTCTGCAATTACAGCTTTTGCCTTCACAGCGACCAGTCTGAAATTAAGGTGGGGTTCCCCTGGTGCTGCCCCTGTGGCTAAGGGGCCAGAGGTGACATACACCAACAACCTAACTCCTGCTGCGAATACTAATTACAATCATAGGAGTCAACATTGCTTTGTAGATTAGCTCATTTTGTACTCAGAACCCCAATAAAATAAAATAGAAATAATTATTCATTCATTTTACAGATGAGGAAGTAGAGGGCAGAGAACTGGAGTTTAATCAGGCAGCCCAGCTTCAGACCTGCCTCTACTCTCTGCAGTACTGCCTATCAAAAGGACGAGAAAAACCAATGGAGGCTCCAGATTGTCCATGGTACTTGACACATTTGCTTTGTTAGAGCTTTACCTTAGAGGGTTCTAGCCTATATTATTCCTGTTTGGTGTCTGAGGAAGCTGAAGTCCAGACAGTAAAAGGGTCACACAGCCAGCAAGAAGCAGAGCTGCACCTGGACTTCCCACCTGACATGTCTTCAAGGCACAGGTACAAGAACACCCTGTCCCAGGCCAAGTCCCTGTTCCAATGGAGCCAGGTCTAACTGGTGACTAAAGCTACTGCCCTTCAGGGTCAATGCCAGGAACTAGGTTGCTCTCTCAAGGGGACATGATAGAGACCTGGTCATTCTCAGCAGTATCCAGGGCAGGAAGGGAATCTGGGCTGTGGTCTGGATGGAGGAGCCCAGCACCTCCAGCCAGCGCAGTTTCCCACCTTCTGAGGGTGAGCATAACACATCAGTCACACTGATAACTAGGGAAGAGAAGCTACGAAAACATGTGTGGTATGGGCAGGAGGAGCATGGGATGTGTGTGTGTGTGTGTCTGTCTGTCTATATCTGGTCTCTAACAGTGACCGATTCAGTGTTTTATATATTCAGTCTCTTAACTTCCCATGCACATATATAGACCTTCAGAGACTTTCTTTTGTAATGAAATTATGAAATTAAGACTTTCAGAGCCCTGGCTGGTGTGGCTGAGTGGACTGAGTGCCAGCCTGTGAACCAAAGTGTCGCTGGTTCAATTCCCAGTCAGGGCACATGCCTGGGTTGCAGGCCAGGTCCCTGGTAGGGGGAGTACGAGAGGCAACCACACATTGATGTTTCCTTCTCTTTCTCCCTCCCTTCTCCTCTCTTTACAAATAAATAAAATCTTAAAAAATACATATATAATATTTTTTTAAAAAAAGACTTCCAGGTATATCAAAATAGTTCTGATTTCCCCTAGAACATCAGTGAAAGACTTGAAAAGAAGTTCTGTGGGAAGCATATTCCAGTGGTTGATCCCATGCCACAGATGGGCAAAGTCTGAGCTTGAAAACGGAACGCCGGCTTCCTGTTCTGTCACCTGGCCCATCCATTAGACCCCCCTTGAGCATCCATGAAGGGCAAAGAGTGCTTTCTGGGCAAGATCCCTACAAACCCGAACTGAGGAATGCTCCCAACATCCACCCTGTACACTCAGAAAAGGGAACCATAGCCAACTTGGCAAAAAGATCCTCAGGGCCTTTCCCTGATTCTAAGATGTATGACTTATGAAGTGATTCTTAGGTGGATATTTGTAATAAGTGTGTTTGTTTCGTGTGGTAGTACTTCAGTCTTTTAAACAGATCTATTACTGAATCAGTAACAAGTCTTACAGGTGACCTCCTTAAAAATCAAGAGAATACATTCATTCAGATTCTGTTTGTGTAGAGATTGTTGTTCTGACCACAACTTCCCACTTCTGCCTAGTAAATCGTGAAGTGTGGGGTGTATTCGCCTCAAGAGGACAGCAGGGCATGGCCTCCACCAGGGTCTCAGAGCACACAGCTCTCTGTCAGCCCGGGGGGCCTGTGCCGGGGCCAGCACATCTCCCACCCTTCAGAGGCACCAGCCTCAGGCGAGTGGCCCAGGGGAAAACCGGCTGGCCACCTCCAGGGTCAGCCTAATTCCTGGATGCATGGATCCTCCCTCCCCAAAGAGGGACAAGGGGCCTGAAGAAATGACCGCTCCAGTTTCCAAAGCAGACACTGCACGAGGAAAAGCAGTAGGCCAGCAATTAGACCAGGGTCCTACCCCTCTTCACCTTGACTGTGTGACCTTGGCCAACCTACTTAGTTTCTCTGGGCCTCGGTTTCTCTACAGATGAAGGAGAAATAGTTGCTCCAACTCTCTCTCACAGTACACAGTAATAGTTAAATGAAGTAAAAAAAGTAAGTAGGAAAAAAAGGTTATAAAAACTCAAAAGTAGTATTCCCCGATATCAATCCCTCCCACCTCCCGCCCTGTGGAGAGAGGGGAGGACCCAAATGACTCACCAGTGGCTCTATTGTGCTGAGGTCTTTAATTTTGTTGCCACTTAAATTTAGATGCGTGAGGTTCGGACACTTTTCTGCCAATACTTCCAGGCCCCCTGAGATTCTGTTATCGCTTAGTTCAAGCTAAACAAGGCAGAGAAAGAAAAAGCAGAAACAGCTCTTAAAATGAGGGCTCCAGACTCAAAGCCTCCCGGTAGACCACAAGGAAGGGAAAATCTCAGGAAATCTTAGGTCTTGGAACCTTTGGGCGTGTCCCGCAGGCATCTGGTTTCACCTTCAATCACGCTCCCTAAACCCACTCCCTAAATCAGGGGATGACCCTTCCTCCTCCCCACCCCACCTCCCTGCTTGAGCGTGCGCCCTATATTCTATTTACCTTCTTAAGTTTGTTTAACTTTGGTAAATTTGCGACTGAGGTGAGGCCTACGTTGATTGTACTTAAGAACTCCAGTTCTTCAAATTCATCTGTGAGGCCTTCGATTTTGCCTTCATTAGACCGACAGTTGTCCAGGACAAGCTCTTTCACCTGGAAAGGGAAGGACTGTGTGAACGGAGGCAAGGAATTGGGCTGAGGCATGGGAAGGGTATCAGGCCTCCTCTGAGGACAGTCAGTCAAACCCAGGAAGCAGTCCATCGTACACGGAAAACAGCACTTCTGGAGCACTGCGCTGCACACAACCACCCTGGTCTTTCTGCCTGGGGGGTCAGGTTGAGGTTAGCAGAGCTGCAGAACCAGGGGCTTCTCCAGATAGGAGTGGCTGGGTTGCAGGACATAAACTCAATGAGCTCAGCCCCTATCACAACGTTGGCGGTCTCATTCCAACCCTACCTGAAATACTACAGCCTCCAGATTCTAGCTCTAATGTTGTAGGGGACCTCTGAGCCTCACCCCACGCCCATCAGGGCCTCAGACTGACCCTGCCCGAAGCCAGCTCCCACCTCCCATCCTCAGCCCCTGTGCCCCCTTCGCCTCCACGTCTGCGACCTTCTTTCTGCTGGTCTACCCCCTAGCTTGCTCTCATCCCGCTCTTGACACCAGTCAGAACCTACCTGCCTGGCCTGCAATTTGTCACCACCGTCAATGCTTGGCCTATTCCAGGGTAGGGAGAGCCAACCAGGGCTCCTCCAACTCTCTCTTCGCTAGACCAGTGCTGTCCCATACAATTTCCTGCGACGACAGAAACCTCTGCACTGTCCAAGAGGGGAGCCACAAGCCATGTATCCCCACTAAGCACCTACATTGTGGCTGGTGAGACCAAAGAACTGAACTTTAAATTTTATTTAGTTTTAATTAATGTAAGTGTGAAGAAACACATTCAAGCTACCACATCAAATGTCAAGGCTCTCGGCTTAGCCCTTCCAGGGTCCTGAGCAGATGCAGGAGAGAATGGAAATCCACAAAACAGGACGGACTCATTGTAAAATGCTGAGGTCAACAAAGTCCAAAAGTTGGTCTTTGGAGGCCCCTCTGTGGCTCTGTCCCCTGCCCGGCCATCTAGAGGCAGTTTCATCCTATTAGAGTTCTCAGGTTCTTCTCTTTTGGGCTCCAACTCCTTTATTTCTAATGAAAAAGAAAGAGCTGATAAAAAGCTACCCTCTCATTAGGGTTTTAAACGGTAGATTTGGCTGAAGGTCAGATGCCAGGCTTCTGTGCAGATGAACTCAGGAAGTATAATTGTGTCTCAGGCCTAAACTGACCCAGGGAGTCAACCAGGGAGGCCAGGCCCTGCAGGCAGATACCCAGAGTCACCCACTCCTGTCCCTGAGCAGTCTGGCAGGCGCCTTAAAGATGATCCCTCTTGGCCATACCTGGCGCTTGACACAGCACCCCCTGCCTGCTCCCCGCAGCCCCTGGGTAGTATGCACTGCTGTTGCCTGGATATGGGGTATGCTGATCCCCCGGACTGCTACCCGCAGGTCGCACAGTCCAAGTCCTCCTCAGCAGCAGTCCCACATTGTTTGAAGGGTCGTTCCTACCCCTCAGAGCCTTTTCTTCTCAGGGATAAGCGGACGGTCCTTCTAACCTGTCCCAGTCCAGGGCTGCCCCCGACCCTTCCCCGCAGCAGGCCTCCTTGCTTAGTTTTCTCCTGCAGGGCCCAGAATGACCGTCTTGCCATGGACCTCCAGGTGCCCCTCCCACCGGGGGCATCTCTGGGTTAAGTGCCAACTTGGGGGAACAGAACAAAACCCAAGCAGGCCTGCGGTGGCCCTCCTCTGTCAACCCTTGCCAGTGGGCAGACCAGGGGAGTGCAGGGCACATCTGGCACGCAGTGGCCCGCAGCCCAGCACAGGACAGTGGCAACTTGCAAGGAGGGGCAAAAGCCAGGCACGACATTAGTCTCCAACAGCTAGGAAGCTCTGGGCCTTGGCACTGGCACCAAGGCCAACCTTTCCTTGGGCTCTCCCTGTCCCCTCCCACTCTCTCAGTCCCCTGGAAAGGCCAGGTGTCCAGGTCAAGTCACCTCCTCAAGGTCAGTGGCAAGAATGCCTGGGAATAAATCCTGCCCTAGGGCAGGAAATCAGTGTAGAGTCAGGAAGCCAGGCCTCAGGGGAGCAGAGCAGGCAGAGGGAGGTCAACTGTACAGGGGCAGGGAGGGCCCTCCTTCAGCCTGCAGTGAACACTGGAGTCACAGGGCCCACTGTTTTTCTCTTAGTTACTGCTTCCTTGGAAGGCCCTGGGAGTTCTTTAAGCTCCATCAAAGAAAGACATATATGAGAAGGGATTCCAATAATCTGGATACCCTCAAAGATTTCAGACATGTGGTTTTTCTAACAGGGTCAAGGGTTCCTTCTCTTATGGCCATTAGTCAATGAGAAGGCCCCAGAGATGCGGGGAGGCGGTGCTGGAGAGCCAAGGGGATTCCTTCTGGAAGTCGACCTCTTTTCCGGAGCAGCACAATGCTGCTGGGAATCCTACAGACGAGGGTTCCAGTTCCAGCACCACACCCAAACAGGTGGCCGTTCCTCTCAGGACCAATATGCAAGTAACTACTACTACTGTCCTATTAATAATAATCTTGGGCTCTTTCCTGAGCCCTCAGCAGGTACACTCTACCGTGCTTCCCCCACAATGGCTCAGTCAATCCTCACAATGTCTCCATGGGGCATTCTGCCATTTTACAGCCACACCAGAACCGCCTACCTATCCTAAAGTGCCAGAAGCGGTCGTAGGAGGGTGTCTGCTGGACTGAGGTGGTCCGTGTTGGCTCCTGATGGTTTCTCTGACATTCCCAAAAGTAGGGAAGAGACTCTCCCAGACCCCCAAGTCAATTGGACAAGCTGCCCTGGCAGCCACCTGCTCCCCGGTAGCCCCACCAGCCGGACAGGGGCCTCTCCCAGCAGCCCCCGCCCTGGTTACACTTCCTCAGTAACCAAAGCACAAAACCCAACCCAGCCCTAGAGCAAATGAGGCTGAAGTCAGGGAGAACAGATCTGGAGATCTTCCCAAGAAGCAAGGGGCTGCTTCCAGTCACTGGGAAGGGAAGCCTATGGTGTCATCTGCGGGGCCTCTGGGATCCCCAGGGTTTCTGCATTTCCTCCCTGGCAGGGGTTTCAGCCCTGTCCGGGGTGAGATCAAAGAGGAGGGGCAAGGTCCAGGCTTAGGCCCCAGGTTGATATATCATCAAAAAGCCCAAACCGCACTGGGTGAAATTTACTGCTTTTTTGTGGGGTGAAGTGTCTGAAATGGACCGAACAGGAGAAAACAAAAACAGGAGCCCCAAAGCTGAAGTCATCCCGCCCACCCCTGCCTCCAATGTTAGAGGTCCCTAACGGGGACAGGCTCCTAACAGAGACAGGCGACTGTGCTTCAAACCCTACTCGCCCCAGTTTCCTTAAATCACTCTGAACTGTTGCAATTCCAACCTGCTTCCTCCCACCTCTGCTAGGTGACCATGCTCTAAAACCCTTCCTGTGAAGAAAGCATCCCTTTGACATTCAGGGAGTGTTCTACAAAAGAAAAGGAGAGAAGAGAAGAGAGGAGAAAAGGAAAGAAAAGAAATGTAATGCCCATTTTCCCCTGCCAAATCCTGGGTGTGAGCTAAGTGCAAAGTTAAAATTAACCTAAAAATTTGTACTTTGGGTTTAGACTCACTCCCAATTCCACTGGCCATTTAAAAATATCTGAATGTGGTTTCTCTCTCTCTCTCTCCCCCGCCCAACAGCTGGGATGATACTGCTTCTATCAGGAGTTCTTCAAACGCCCCAACAACAAACCGACACAAGATGCTATGCTTCAAGCCTCGTGCCAACACCCCAGAGGAGCCTGAACATCCCTACTGGCCCCAAAGAGATATGAGTGGGGCAGAGAAGAGTTCCCTAGAAGTCAGACTACCCGGCTCCAGTATTTCCTGAAAAACTTGTAGCAGCCTGATCAACACAAACACATCATTACTCTGAGGAACAACCCATTGGCTGTTTCTAAACTATGAAATCGTGTCTTTACAGGTAGTTCCAATTTGACCATTCCTCTGTGTACCCAACACTGCAGCCCTGGTCTCAGTCAAGTCAGTCACTCCAAGCCTGCTCTGCTTCCAAAAGGGGCCTCTGTGACAGTGGGCACATTGGTCTACTGGGAATAGGCCTCAACAGGAGGCCAAGGACCCGGCTGGCTGGCTGAGTGAACCCTGACTCTCTACCCAAGATCTTAGGTTCTGCCTCTACAGAAAGGGGATGGTATCTGTTCAACCTATAAAATGCAAACTCCAGCCTAGAAAACATTCCTGGCTTCCTGCTTCCTGGGGGAGGGGGACTTCAAGTTCCTGAACTGATCTAAGAGGCGTTCCACTCTCGACCTCCCCCCACTTCCTCCAATCTCACTGCCCCCGGGCCTCTCAATCCTTGCACTAGGGTCCCCTCCCCCGCAGGAGGCCTTCCCCGACCCAGCTGAGCATCCCAGGGCACCAAGGGCAGCTGCGGCATGAATCATTTAATCGTGTATTAAGCACCCGATCCTCCTAGAGGTCAGGAACTGTCCTCCATAATCAGCCTAGAGGGGAGTGGACACTAGAGCAACCACTGAACAAATGTCCTATGGTGCCAGGCTCAATAATAGGTATGGAACATAGAGAATGAGTCAAATCATCGTTATATTTACAGTGTAACTGGTCCAAGCAAGCTGAATGAACCCTGCCTTTTATAAACAGCAGCAGTGTTTTTCTATATGTCTTGTATCCCTGAGACAAGCATAAGCCCTTGGGAGGCAGGCCAACCATGCACGCTCCTCCTGACCCGACCCAGTGCTCTGCCCATAAGAAATCCCTTTCTCCAGAAAGGGCGCTCCTGGGACACTGTTCACCTGGGCAAATGCGGAGAGGACGTGAAGGTGACAGCGAGCAGGAGGTGTGGTGGCCAACCGGAGGAAGACAAGAAGGCTGGTAAACAACTCTAGTGCAGTGTGCCAGGCAGTAGGCCTGAGGCAGAAACTGCATTTTTTCAAATGCCTTCATCTCAGAGAAGATGGACATACTAAGGGACCCAAAAAGACCAAGAAAGGGGACTCACTGTATCAAAGCCAGGACTGGCTCT